GTTCAGCCCTTCTCATTATATCGTGCAATGACTTGGCTGTTAAATCACTTTCAGTCTCTGTCTCTTAAATCCTAACTTCACCAAGTGCTCTAAGTAACTTAAATAATCAGCAGAGAGGGTATCCCTCCCTCTCCTTCAGGAGGCCATGAGCTCCCTGGTGCCTCATGTCTGGTCCTGGCGCCTGGACGCAGGGCTGGTGCTCCACGAACACCTGCTGAATGTCGAGTGATAACAAGAGTTGCTGGGGCTTTCCTGGTGGCGCAGTGGTTGAGAGTCCTCCTAATGATGCAGGGGACACGGGTTCATGCCCTGGTCTGGGAAGATCCCACATGCCGCGAAGTGGCTGGGCCCGTGAGCCATGGCCGCTGAGCCTGTGCGTCCGGAGCCTGTGCTCCGCCACGGGAGAGGCCACAACAGTGAGAGGCCCGGGTACCGCAAAGAAAAAAAAAAAAAAGAGTTGCTGACATTTACTGAGCACCAACTGCGTGCCAGGAGCAGTTCTGAGCACTTGTAGGATTTAACTCATTAAAAATCTTCTCAACAACCGTATAATGTGGACACGGTTACTTCCCTCCCTTTGCCCGTGAGGAGAAACTGAGGTTTAGAGAGGATCGTGTTGCCCCGGCCAGGGTCACACAGCTGGGAAGTGGAGGGGCAAACCTGACCCTGTGGGCCAGACCTGCTCTAATAAGCTTGACCCTAACCCTCGCCCCAGCCGCAGCAGTCAGACCCAAGGGCTCCCGGCTCTGTCCTCCCACTGCTTCACCTCTCGGATGAGGTCCCGGCGGATCTTCGTCTCCTGGTAGAGGAGGGGCAGGATGTCGTCCAGCAGGTCGCGGACCAGTGAGGGCTTGTTGTGCACGGCGGAGTTGAAGAAAGCCAGGGTGGCCCGGCGCACATTCAGGTCTGGGTCCTGCAGGCTCTCCATGAACTCTCCTGGCAGAAAGACCAGAGGTGGTGTGAGGGGCAGCACAGCCAAACAAACCACCCCCATCCCACCGTGCTTATCTGGTTAACGGGAGCCGTGCAGACCTGGCTGGACGGGGACAAACGTGTTCTGAGCATCTACTCTGTGCAACAAACCTTCAAAGTCCAGATAAGAATGTGGACTTGAGTCTGGCCTGGGTTCAGATCCAGGCTTGACCACGTCCTAACTGTGGCACCTTGGACAGCCTCAATGTCCTCAACTGTAAAATGGGTGTAACAGGAGTATCTACACTGTAGGACTCGTTTTAGGATTAAAAATGTGGTGATGTCTACAAAGCACACAGCAGAGCACCAAGTGAGGACTCTATAAATGTTAACTTGATTTTATTTCAGATGAGAATGCTGAAGATCAGAGATGTGAAGAGACTTACACAAAATCACACAGCATTTCTTTTAGTATAGGTTAGACTTTTTAATAACTATGTTAATGTTTTATATATTCAATAAATAAATAAAATCAAGAATGGGAGGGATCCCTAAAAAAAAAACAACTGTATTTCAAATGATTCATATAACCACCCAGCTTATGAAGGAGAAAACAACTCACCTAAGTAACTTCCAAAGCCTTGTGACAAGATGCCCTAGGCTAAAGACAAAATTATAAACGAATACTGATTTTTCACAGATAAGGGTTAGCAATTCTCATGACTACCTTCTGTGTATTCCAGGATTAAGTGAATAAATATCTCAGGAGCTGGGTTTCTCCTGTAACAGAAGGGTATATGGAAAGGGAGAAGGCTAGCACGAACCCTGTGGTGTTGGACTGGAATATATATGTGTTTCTGACTATGTACATACAGTCATACATACTTAGATTTCCTGATTCTGTCTGCTGAGAGGGCCTAGAAGTAACGGCACCCCAGTAGCAATAAGCACAGATCTTAGGGCACAGATCTTAGATTCTGAATACTATACTCCACTAAAAGGAATCAGGCTCCTTGGAGAAATGGTTGATTCCAGGGCTGGGGCAGGAAAGGTTCAAGATGGGTCGGGAGCACCTTATCGTGCCAAAAGGTAAGGAGATGCTCAAAGAATGATGGAAACATAGCAACAGAACATAAGCAGCAGCTTGAAGGGCTCCCACTGGCTAAATGTGAGACAATCTTGGGAATCAAAATAAATTAAAGACAGTAATAGATTATAACCCACTGAGTGAAATACAAATCCCTGAGTCTATAATGATATGAACAAACCAATGAATAAATAAATGGGGGAAAAGGAAAAGTTATTTCTGAGAACAAAATGCAAACTAATAAATATGGGAGGAATGCTGGAATTAGAAAGTTGTCATTTAGCAACTGTCAGTAATCATTTATTCAGGCAAGAAACCACAATGGATGCAAAATGTAGTAGGCAAAAATTTGATGAGAAAGAAACTATTTCAATAGGCTTAAAAATACTTATTCATGGGGCTTCCCTGGTGGCGCAGTGGTTGAGAGTCCGCCTGCCGATGCAGGGGACACGGGTTCGTGCCCTGGTCTGGGAAGATCCCACATGCCGCGGAGCGGCTGGGCCCGTGAGCCATGGCCGCTGGGCCTGCGCTCCGCAACGGGAGAGGCCACAACAGTGAGAGGCCCGCGTACCGCAAAAAAAAAAAAAAACTACAATGAGGTATCATGCCACACCGGTCAGAATGGCCATCATCAAAAAATCTACAAACAATAAATGCTGCAACGGGTGTGGAGAAAAGGGAACCCTCCCACACTGTTAGTGGGAATGTAAATTGGTGCAGCCACTATGGAAAACAGTATGGAGGTTCCTTAAAAAGCTAAAAACAGAACTACCATATGACCCAGCAATCCCGCTACTGGGCATATACCCCGAGAAAACCATAATTTGTAAAGATACACACACCCCAATGTTCACTGCAGCTCTATTTACAACAACCAGGACATGGAAGCAACCTAAATGTGCACAGACAGAGGAGTGCATAAAGATGTAGTACACATATACAATGGAATATTAGCCATAAAAAAGAACAAAATAATGCCATTTGCAGCAATATGGATGGACCTAGAGATTGTCATACTGAGTGAAGTAAGTCAGACACAGAAAGACAAATATTATATGATGTTGCTCATATGTGGGATCTAATTTTAAAAAATAATACAAGGGCTTCCCTGGTGACACGGTGGTTAAGAATCCGCCTGCCAATGCAGGGGACATGGGTTCCAGCCCTGGTCCAGGAAGATCCCACGTGCCGCAGAGCACCGAAGCCCATGCGCCCCAACTACCGAGCCTGTGCTCTAGAGCCCACAAGCCACAACTACTGAGTCCACGTGCCACAACTACTGAAGCCCACACACCTAGAGCCCGTGCTCCACAACAAGAGAAGCCACCACAATGAGAAGCCCGCGCACCGCAAAGAAGAGCAGCCCCCGCTCACCGCAACTAGGGAAAGCCCGCGCACAACAACAAAGACCCGACGCAGCCAAAAATAAACAAATAAATAAACTTACAAAAAACAAAACAATACAAATGAACTTATCTACAAAACAAGAACAGACTTACAGATATCGAAAGCAAACGTATGGTTACCAAGGGGCTGGTGGGGAGGGATAAATTGGGAGACTGGGATGGACGTATACCCACTCCTATATAAAAAATAGATAACTAATAAGAACCTGCTGTATAGCACAGGGAACTCTACTCAATACTCTGTAATGGCCTATATGGGAAAGAATCTTTAAAAAAAGAGTGGGTATAGGTATATGTATAACTGATTCACTTTGCTGTGCACCTGAAACTAACACAGCATTGTAAATCAACTATACTCCAATAAAAATTAAAAAAAAAAAAGAAAAAAGAAAAATCAGCTCAAGCCCAAGAACAGGGTGGAGCTGACCAAAGGGGGCAGAGGGGCGGGGGCACTCACCAACGAAGGTCTTCAGGATGGGGTCGATGGGGTGGGGCTGGTCCGAGATGAGGAACTTGACGGCTGTGATGACAGTGCAGCGGGTGTGTGGCTGACCTGCAGGACGGGAGGGGGCACTTGGGGCGGGCGCGGCGGGTCCCGGAGGGCGCTGATGCTCCCCTCGCCTCCGTGGGAGACAGAACCACGTCTCCTCCCCACACGAAACGCCCCGCACATCTCTGGGGAAGCTGATGCTACCACTTTCCTTGGCAGCCCAGAATCTCCCCTGAATTCTTCCTACTTCTGCCGAGAGGGTAAAACTGCCAGCTCTCAGGCAGCCACGCCAAGGACAGTAACGGACAACGAGAACCCAAGACAGGGCTCAACCTGAAGACAGACCTCTCTGCCCAGGCCGTGGGGCTGCGTTCTATTTCTCAGACACATTATCTCAATTAATCCTCAGGATTAATTAATCCTAGTCACTGGTTGATAATAATAAAAAATCATATAGGGCTTCCCTGGTGGCGCAGCAGTTGAGAGTCCGCCTGCCGACGCCGGGGATGTGGGTTCGTGCCCCGGTCCGGGAAGATCCCACATGCCGCGGAGCGGCTGGGCCCGTGAGCCATGGCCGCTGAGCCTGCGCGTCCGGAGCCTATGCTCCGCAACGGGAGAGGCCACAACAGTGAGAGGCCCCCGTACCACAAAAAACAAACAAACAAACAAACAAAACATATAATATTAGTAACAGTAATTAATAAAAATTCTTCTTAATTTCCGTTTTACACATGAGGAGAGACCGGAAAGGTTAAATTCACGTCTAAGGTCACCCAGCAGGTCCAGAATTCACCAGCTGCTTCTGAGCCCTCTCTCTGGGCTTCTCCAAGGAGGGAGCAGTTATGCTTCAAGCAGGCTGAACTCACTTAATTTTGCTTTTCTGCTTGCGTTCTGAGTAGAAAAGCTGCAGAAAGGGAAGGGAGTACACTTCCCATTAGGGTGAAGGAGATTAATCGGCAGCTTCCACCCCTCCGGCACACAGCACTGAATGGGTTAAGGCTGTTTCCATCCAAGACTTCAGTTCAAGACTCAGTAGAAAGTTTACAATTTGACGCTAGGGTATGAGTGAGTGAGTTACTGACTTCAGACTTGTAGTTTTTTCCTCTTTCTCTTTCCATCCTGACTGGCTCCTAGGAAGATTCAGGGGGGCTGATAAAGGTAATACACATAGAAGAGGATTAACTGAATTAAGAAAAATGAGGCCAAGCACAAAGTGAGATAGAAACCAGAGTGAGGGGCATGCAGCGAGAGGCAACTACAAAGTCCTACGAACCTGCCAGAAGCAGTCCGCTGATTCGGCTCTAAGCATCCCAGCAGCCGGCAGTAAATAGGAAATGTGCCTGGTTAGCTGGGTCAACAGCGCGCACGAGGCCTAAACAAATCTGAGCTTAGAAAAGGCAGGGCTGCCCCTCAGCCCAAGACTCTTGCCTCCCAAGGCTCCTCGTGAAGAGCCCTGTGCAGTGTTAACAGGTGAGGTCCTCAACGTGGTTGTCCTGCCCACACAGTGGTGAGGGCCCAGAGCTGCTGCTTGTATACCAGCAACCCAGGAAGGGCTTAACCGGAATCACTGACACAGCAACGACAGTGGATACTAGCAGTACTAATTAGGTACCACCCACTATACCAAGCACTTTGGCTGCATTATGTCAACTAACACAGCACTGACCCTACGGGGACCAGGTAACCAGCTCAAGGCCTGGAGGCCTTTCGCCCTCACGGGCTTTCACCTGCCTAAGAGCCCACAGTCCACCTGCCTGCTTTCTTCCCCCCTGAGCTGCAGAACACCCTGACGCGCCCTAACCCCAGAACGTAAGACCTGCCTTCCTCACCCCTTCCCTGGCCCTCTCCACACCCCAGGGCCTGGCATCCAATCCTAGGCCACATTTACATTTGCTCCTGCCTCATGCTAGCCCAAGACAGCTGCATTCTGCAGGCTGCCGTTTCTGGCCCCTCAGAGAACCGCCTTTACTAACCCTCACCTGGAGCACAAGGCTGCTGTCCACAACAAGTGGCACCGTGAAAAGTTTATTTGTTGGAGGGACACATCAAGGATTCTGTCCCCTCCATCCCAGAGGGTCCCACAGGAAGAGGCCTTTAAATCTCAGGAAACACTGTTTTTAACGGCTCCTCTGCCTTGAACCTTGTCAACACCGTGACTCTCAGACCCGATTACCTGAACAAGCTCACCCTATGTGGACCTCTGCCCACCTCCAATCCGGGCTGCCTTTGCCCACCCCTGTGCCCCTACCTGCAGCAAGTTGCTTCCGGAACCGCGGCAGGAGGAAAGGAGGGTTCACGAGGACCAGCTTCCCGAGGCACTCGGCCACCACCCCCCGGGTGCCCTCCTCGGCGCCCTCGCAGCGCTGGAACAGCAGGGCCCAGACGTCCTCGGCGTAGGGCTTCAGGCTGTCGGGCTGGGCGGCCCCCAGGGCCTCCCGGAGTGAGTGTAGCAGCAGGTACCGCCGCCGGGGCTCGGCCTCCATCTGCCCCAGCAGGAAGGGCAGGAAGTCAGGCAGGTTCCCCGCGCCCACGCGGCCCAGCGCATAGGAGGCAGCCGCCCTCACGTCCTCGCTGGGCGAGCCCAAGGCTTCCAGGAGCACTGCCTTCAGCTCCCGCTGGGGGCCCGGCCCGGCCACCTGGCCCACCTCGGCCAGGGACAGGAACGCCAGGACCTTGACCCCTGGGCTCGAGCTGGGCGACCTGGCATCGGAGACCAGGCGGTTGACTGTGTCCACCACCTCCTGCGGACAGGCCACCGCGAGGGCCGCCACGCACCGAGCCAGCGAGTGGAACACCTGCTTGTGCAGGCCGGGCCCGCCGTCCGCCACCTGCTCGTAAACGGGCGCCGTGAGCAGGCCGACGAGCTCAGCGTAGTCCACGCACGGCGGCCGGGTCCCCACCAGGGCCTGTAGGAAGCCTTCGGCAGCCGCTAGCACACCAGCCGGCAGGAGGGGCGAGTGCAGCAAACGCAGCAGCTCTGCCAGCACAGGACCGCTGACCTCAGCCAAAGAGGCTGGCTGGGCGCGGGTCACGGTGGCGAGGAAGTCCACAGCCAGCTGGGCCACGTGCATGTCGTTCTCACTGACGAGGGAGGGCAGCTCGGCCAGCACGGCCCGCACGGTGGATGGCGGGAGGCCAAGGCCCTGACTCTGGGCCAGGGCGGCCAGGGCAGCCAGGGCGGCCAGCCGCAGCGCCCGCTGGTTCTTCCGCAGGAACGAGGCCAGAATGGGCAGCGCCTCGGCTAGGATGGGCTGCAGGTCGATCCGCAGTGGGGACACGGCCACCAGTGTCAGCGCCTTGACGGCAGAAAGCCGGGTGATCTCATTCCGCAGGCGGTCCAGGAGAAGCAAGAGTGACGGCTCCAGGTTGTCCCCGAGCCGGTCACCCAGGTGGCCCACGAGGTGGCCCACGCAGGAGATGGCCCGCTCCTTCACCTCCTGGTCCAGGTCGGTGGCACGAAGCCGTGCCAGGGTGGCCGCGGACATCTCTCCAATGTAGGGCTCGGGGTCCAGCACCCGAGGCCTGTCCAGCGGCCACAGGGCCCTCACCAGCTCCTGGAGCACCAGCAGAGCCTCGGCTGCGATCTTGTAGAAAGGGTCAGCCACGCAGGCCATCACAGGAGGCAGGAGAGTGGGCAGCTGGGGGTGGAAGGCCTCAGCTGGCTCTGTGCCCAGCAGCCCCTGCAAGAAAGCCAGGGCATCCATCCGGATGGTGGAGGAGCTGGAGCGGTCCGCCAGCGAGAAGATGATGCCTGGGGGTGGAGGGGTGGGAGGCAAGGTTACCAGGCCACAGACCCTGACCCAACTCAGCCCTCCCTGGATGCAGGGGTGGAGTACCCTCAGGCGTCTGAGCTGGACCCAGGCACATGGGCTCTCATGCAACAGATTCTATGAGGTCACGGCTTGGCCGGGGCCAGGGCTGAGGACACAGGCCAGGGAACCTATTTAAAAACAGGACATGGGGCCTGCACCCCGGCCCTGTTTTCACTGCTGGCAGTGGGGAGCCACTGTAGGTTGCTGAACAGGGGCACTCTCAGGGATTGGGGGCTGGGGTCTGGGTTCAGGAAGAAGCCCAGAACAGCAGACACTGGGTTCCAGTCCATCCTACCTGCTACCAGCACGGGCATGTGCTCTGCCAGGCTGCCCGGGAGGATGCCTGCCAGCTCGGTGAGAAGGCTGAAGCAACCCTGGCGGGCCCTGACACTCCGATCTTTAAGCTGCCGCTGCAGGGCCTTCATCACAAGAGGCACCTGTGGATGGAGCGGGGAGGTCAGTGACCACCCGGGAACCTCCACACCCCACCCACTACTGGGGGACTCTGCCCGGGCACCTGCCCATGGAGGACCCCCAGCGTGGAGAGGATCATTCCAGCCCAAGCTTCCCATCACTTGCTCTGTAGCAGGCACCTGATTCCACACTCACCTTCTGAGGTGGGTACTAGTCCTGTGCCCAGCTGACAGACAGGAAACAGGCACAGAGGTGAAGTAACTTGCTCAAGGTCACCGAGCAGTGCGGTTCTCACTCCTACACTTGGTGAGGGTGAAGCGCCGGGGCCCCCTTCCCTCCTCCAGCTAGATTCCCTCCCCAGTGAGCTCATCCACTTCCGAGTTGAGGATTCCCCTGAAGCAATGACTCCTAGATCTACATCTCTGACACGAGACTTGTGTGCCGACTGCCCGCCAGACACCTCTACTCCGGCGTCCAACGAGGGCTTCGAACATAAATGTCCAGAACAGAACTCTAGACATGCCCCCGCTCCACCCTCCACCATGTCAGGGACTGCACTATTTTTAGCCAGAGCCCCGAACTCACATGACACCTCCCTGTCCCTTGCCTTTCACATCCATGTGCAAACCCCAAAACTCTCTCTCAAGTCCGACCACCTGTCCCCCACCCCCTGCCCAAGGCACCAAGCCCTTTCACCTACACAGCTGCAGTGGCCTCCAGCCCGTTACAATCCCCACACAGCAGCCAGAGTGAGCTTTTTCAAATGTGAGTGGGATCCCGTAATTCCCCTCCCGTGGCATCTACCGTCTTAGAATAAAACTGAACCCCCTTGCTGTGGCCTGGAACCCTACTCGTGCTGTTGGCTATCTGCCCGAGACTGTGTGGTCCAGGGGCAGGGACTTCATCTGCCTTGCCTCCTGTTGTGCCCCGCCACTCCATACACAGGGCTGGGCACACAGCAGGTGCTCGGTATGCACAATCCAGTGGGTGGAGAGATGGGGGGCGGTGGGAGGGTGGGGAGATGGAGGAGGGAAGGGTTGTGAGGAGGGAGAGGCAGGGGGAGGGGCGGGCAGGCACACCTGTCCTCGCAGCATCTGGAGGTTGCTGCCCGACTGGGTGGGCTCCTCCACGGCCTCCAGCCATCCCTTCAGGGACCGCGTCTGCCGCAGCAGCACGATGTAAGCCCCGAACACGTCGGCCTTGACGTTCTCCTCGCGTTCCCTGAAGCGGCGGATGAGCACGGGCGCCAGGGTGCAGTGGAAATTGGTCAGCAGGTCGGGCCGAGAGCTGATCAGGGCCACCAGGCACTTGGCCGCTGCCCGGCGCACCTTCCAGCTCATGTCATCATCATCGCTGTACTCGTCCTCGCTCTCTGGGGCGGGAACCAGACACCCATGGAGCCCTAATCACCACCCAGGGCGGTCTCCCAGGACGGGGGGGGGGTGAGAAGTGAGGGGGCAGTGAGGAGGGCTCCGCCGGGGCCTCACCTTTCCATGGTCACTACCGGTTAATGAACACCTGCTGTGTGCTAGGGGTGGCGTCAAGCAGGGAACCAGCTGGAGGTACGCCAGGGTCCTCCCACTGCCTCCAGACTGTTGGTTGTTTTGACTACACCAGGGAAAAACTGACTCCAAAGCTTCCAGTGAGGATTTAGGGAATCCATGTGGGGCACAAGACCCATCCTTTGGTTTCAGGACTGGCTGCGTGATGTTTCATGTACTGGGATTTCAGAAGGGAAAGGTGATAGCTCCCCTGCTCCAGAGTCCTGATTCCGGCTTCCAAGCAGGAGTAACAATAAGGAAAAGCTGTGTTTGTGTGGCTCTCCACTCTCCAAGCTCTCCCAAGAGGTCAGAGCTCAAGTCTTCACCATGCCTCAGGAATGAAGGTGTCTTGAGCCTCCTTTTATAGATGATACATATAAGGCTCAGAGAGGACGAAGACTCTCCTGAGGACACACAGCTAGAAACAGCAGAGATGAATGAGGCCCACAAAGCCAACTCATACATCTGGGAGACACACATGAGGCTCAGAGGGGGACGGTCCTCCCTAGGGACACCCCCAGGCACAGGCTCAAAGGCCAGCATATTCCTACCCACACTGCCCTGTAGAGAACTCAGACTCTCAGAGCACTGCATCTGGACAAGCCATAGTGGGCCAGATGGATGGTCCCCCAGATGTGTCTTGTTAGCTTAGCAGATGTGTCCCCTCTGATGGAACCTTGTTATCTCCACCCTATGTCACCCATGAAGAAACATCCAGAGCTCCCTGTTACTAACAGGAAAATGCCCAATCTCCTTGGCCGGGCATTTGAGCCCAAAATGCCTGTCCAATCTCATCTCCTACAACCGCATCTCGCTCTGAGTACCCATCAGGACCTAAGGCCTTCACCTCCATCAATGCCTCCAGGGCCCAGGGCCTTCCCTCTGAGTGACAGACAGGCCCACAGGCACAGAAGGAAAGAAGCCATTGAGTCCATCCCCCATCCAGGTATCTCTCCCTGTCAGTGCCAATCATTCCACCACTAGAGCTTTACTCTGCTGCGTTAAAGCAATGGCTCTTGGAAGCCATAACTAAAAGGGTACAGAGATGGCAGCACGAGGTGGGGGAGTCTGGCAAACATGGCTCCAAGCCCCAGCCACGCCACTTCCTAGCTGTGTTAACTCAGGTAAATCTCTTCCCATTAAGTCTCAATCTCCTTGTCTGAAATATGGGGATGATAATAAATACCTGGTTTCCTAGGGTCATTATAAGGAACATGAAATAAGAGAGTACTTAGGGGACTTCCCTGCTAGTCCAGTGGTTAAGAATCCACCTTCCAAAGCGGGGGATGTGGATTCGATCCCTGGTCGGGGAACTAAGATCCCACACGCTGTGGGGCAACTAAGCCCGCGCGCCACAACTAGAGAGAAGACCGAGCGCCACAATGAAAGATCCCACGTGTCGCAACTAAGATCTGACACAGCCAAAAATAAACAAATAAATATTTAAAAAGAAAATAGCACAGGACATCAGGAGATGCTCAATAAACAACAGCAATGACTACTATCTTGTGATCTGTGCAATCAGAGAGTGTGGGCACCACAGAGGATCCAGATTTCCAAGGGCAGGGCTGGAGCCTGAGGAAGAGCTGGGACCAGGACGGGGGCACCAAACGTGGCCCCTGGCTTTGGCTGGGGGATTCTCGGGAAGGCTGCACCCATTCCCACCCACCAGCCCAAGGACAAGCTGGCCACTCACGCTGCTCACTGAACTCACTGTCCTCCGTCTCCATCTTCTCCTCTTCCTCGTCACTGTCACAGTTATAGTTGGGGTCATGCTTTATGTACTGGAGGCAGAGGCTGGTCACACTGGGCACGTGGGGGCCCATCTCCTTGGGGCACCTGTGGGGTGGGATGCGGGCGGCTCTGCTGGACCCAGGCAGGACAGGGTTGGGGATGGGGCCCAGTGGTGAGTCCTGAGACCTGACTACTTTGAGGCCAGCATCCTGCCCCCACGCCATCCCTACCAACTTCTCAAAGAAACCCCAGGGCCCCCGTTTTCCAGCACCCCTGTTGCACCTACTTCCTCAGGAAGGCCTCGAAGGCCTGGAGGCAGGACTCCCGAAGCTCATCATCATCCAGCTTGCAGAACTCCTCCACCAGGGGCACCAGTCGGTCCAGATGGGTCCCTGCAGGGCCAGGTGGGTCACTGAGGCAAGGCAAGGTGAGGCCAGACCATCTCCAGGGCTCCCCCAGCCCACAGCATTCAGCCTGTGCCTGCACCTGCAGCCCTGGCCACTGCAAAGTTACTCAGAGGCTTCAGAGTCAAGCAGATGTGGGTTCTAGCCCTGACTGAGCACCCTATAAGCTATGGGACCTTGGGCACATCGCAACATTCTTTAACCTCAGACCATTCATCTTCACGGTAGGGATAACAATGCCTACCAGCCAGAGAGTTTGTCAAGATTAATGATAAGATTCAGATAAAGATCTCCACCCAGGTCCTGGCTCGAAGCAGGCACTCAATAAGTAGCATCTGTTGTTGAAACTATTACTCATGTTCTTGCCTTATTTCCCGCGCTAAGCTAGGTTATAGACCTGGGCAAGGAAAGTGGGGAGGCAGGCACTGCCCTTACAAACCAGGCAAGAGGGGCCCCCCCACTGCCCCCTGGGCTTTATATGGATTCTTCCCTAGCTCATCTCCAGCCGTACCCTTCCCCACCCTGAACCCTGTCCGGTCCTGTGCAGTTCTCTTGCCCAGGTCCATGCTCCCGGCTGCTGTTTGGGGGGATGTGGACAGAGTATGGACTGCAGGCTGGGGCCTCCATGTGTGCTTTTAAGGTCCCCTGCAGTGAGAGAGCCAGAGCGGAGGGAGGGCAGACCGTGGCCACTCTACTTACACTGCCCTGTTCTAGCCCGAACTAACTCCAAGGTGTTTGAGAATAAATTCAAAACTGATTGCAGGATTCCATTTCTACAAAATTCATCTCTGGTGACAGAAAGCAGGTCAGTGGTTGCCTAGGGTGGGGCAGAGGGTGGATGGACTGCAAAGAGGCACAAGGAAACTTTTGGGGGTGATGGAAATGTTGTGCATCTTGATTGCGGTGGTAGTTTCACAAGTGCGCGAAAAGGTCAAAACACACTGAATTGTACACTTTAAGAAGTGCGGTTTATTGTACATACATCATCCCTTTGGAGGCATGACTTATAATTACCCTCGCGAGCCTCTGGGTAGGGCTCAGAAGCAGGTTGAGCTCAGGGCCCACCTGGCTGCCTCCCGAGCCCTTTTCCTCTTCAGGCGCTTCAGCACCGACCCTCCCCACCTCAACCACGCCCCTTAACCACAGGTGGCTCACCCGGGCCCCAGCCCCTCAGCCCAGGTCCCGCCCCTTGCCCGGGATCCCTGTAATCAGACCCGCCCCCTTACCGAGGCGGTGGCCTGCCTGGCGGCCAACGCTGCCCAGACACTGGATCAGGGTACGGATCGCCGCGGGGCTCGCAGGCGCGCGTGGGCCGGGCAGCCGGTCCAGCAGGTGGTCTGCAAGCTCGACGAAGAGGTCGGTGCTGCAGGCGGCCGCCAGGTGGCCGAGCGCCCCAACGGCCCGCTTGCGCACGGCCAGGCGCGGACTGCTCAGCTGCGGCAGCAGACAGTGCAGGAGGCTGGCGTGGAAGGCGCCCAGCGGGGCGCCCAGCCTGGGGAGCCGGAAGGAAGGGGTGTCGGGCGAGGCCCACCCGGCGGGCAGCCTGGCCCAGGCACTTCCCCTCTCCCCATGGGTGCCTGGCCGCCTCCCCCATTATGACAACCCAAAGACCCTCAGCCTCCCCATCACTGAGGCCAGAGTGATCTAAAGTGTGCCTCGGGCTTCCCTGGTGGCGCAGTGGTTTAGAGTCCACCTGCCGATGCAGGGAACACGGGTTCGTGCCCCGGTCCGGGAAGATCCCATATGCCACGGAGCGGCTGGGCCCGTGAGCCATGGCCACTGAGCCTGCGCGTCCGGAGCCTGTGCTCCGCAACGGGAGAGGCCACAACAGTGAGAGGCCCGCGTACCGCAAAAAAATAAATAAATAAATAAAGTGTGCCTCTGCCTAACTCCTTCAGTGGCTCCCCAGTGCCCTTTAGATAAGCTGAGCTCCGGGCTCAAGGCAAGAGGGAACACCAGAGAATGGTTTCTGCACAGGTAGAACGCAGCCCCTGCAGCAGCTTCTTTCCCACATTCAAACCAGGCCTGTGCTTTTCCTGTCCCGTATGTGTCCTGAAACCTTTTCTTCTCTCACTCCACACCAACACATTGACCTCACCCTCCCATATCTCTCTGTCCAGCCCAGACCTCTCTCCTGGGTTTCATTTATTTATGTGTTCACCTACTATGTGACAGGGCCTGGGCTGGAAACTCGGGAGAGCAAGACGGACTCTGGCCCTCAGTCCTGCCCTATGGAGTTTTCGGTTGACGGGGTACCTCCCAGGCACCTCAAATTCAACATGTTCCAAACGGAAACCATCACGCCCACCCCGACATTGCTCCTGGAGCGCACCTACACGGCCAGTGGCCCTGTGTCTGTGCCCACAGTTAGGAAAGCCAGACCCCTGGGTGTCAGCCTTGAGCCTGCCTCTCATCCACTCCAAGCACTGTGGAGTCCACCTCCTAAATACAACCTGAATTCACCTGCCTGCAGAAGCCTTCTAAGCAGTTTCCCTGCCCATTCAACCCCCTCCCATCTTCCGTGCACTCTGCACATAGAAAGATCAGTCTAAAACACACAAATACACCCAAGGCATTCCTCATGCCTGCCAAGAACCCCTCCGCGAGCCCCTCACACTTTCAGTAGAATCTTTAGCCAACTGCCCCACCCTCCCAGCCCTATCTCTCCACACCAGCCCCTCCTCATGACACCTCATGACTGCCTTGCACAACCCCCAGGACCTCATGTCTCTCTGGTCTTTGCCCTCTGGGCCGAAGGCAGGTCCCCCCTCCGGGGTCCCCCTTATGCTCACCCACGCCTGGCCAAGTCCTGCCCACCCTTGAAGGCTCAGCTGGCTGGACCCTCTCTAGGAAGGTTTCCCACCCCCCAGCCGGGTTAAGGGCTCCTCCTCTGAGCTCCTATGGGCCCTGCTCTTAGCCGTATTGTTGTTCTTACTCCATTCACAGATTTATGTGCCTGTGAGCTTTTCCTTAGGGGCCGCCAAGACCCAGCCAACTCCATATTCCCAGAACTAGTCCAGCACCTGACATTTTTCCAGTAGGTGCTCAAATCTTGAGAGGCTGAATGAATGAATACTTTAAAAATGTGTAGTGCAATTTAAAACAAAGGCCCAGCTATACTAATCCAAGAGAAGAAAAAAAAGAGAAAGAAGGGCTGAGGGAGAGGATGAACACACATGGGCTCCAGCTATGGAGAGACCTGAGTTCAACACCTAGGTTCTGCCATTTACTGACTGTGATGGCAGACAGGCCACATCACCTCTCAGAGCCCATAAAATGGTGACAAACGAGTTCTCCTGGGACACTGCTGGTACGATTAAAGAGTCCTAGCACAGGGCCTGGTGTACAGTAAGTGCTGGCTCTGTGAACTTGAGACCCTCCCTGTCCCCCGTCCTCCTTGCCCAGGATGGCCTCCCGCACCTGCTCAGCATGTCAGAGAGGATGTCCAGGGCTTCCAGCTGCACAGCCGCGTCCTCCTGCTGGGCGATGGCACTGGTGAGCTGGCCTGTGATCTTCCGGCACACACTGGTGGCCAGGCCAGAGCCTGCACAGAGCACAAGGTGGGTGCGGTGAGGCCCAGGGCTGGCCTCCAGCTGTGGTCGGCCTTTGCTCTGGTTGTGTTCCTGAGCCCACATCCCTCAAATCCTGCTGACCAGGGAAGCCAGGGGTGGCGTGGTCCAAGGTTTGACGCAGAGTCAGACCAAACTAAAGGAGACAGCCAGGGAGCTAAAGAACCAAGGGCGGACCTGCTGGCTGGCTCACCTCACACCTGACCCCTTTGCCCTCTGCCTTCCAATGGGGAGGTGGGAAAAGTTAAGCCCTTCTTTCCTAGACTCCTTTGCTGCTTGGAGAGGCCAGGTGACCGTGTTCTGGCCATTGAGATACAGGTCAAAGTCTTCTGGGGAAACATGTGCTTTTCTTATAAAGGGCAAGAGACATGGGTAGAGACTTCAGCCCTGTCCTAAATGAGCTTCTGAATGAATGGCTGTAAAAATGGAGTGGCTGATCCCTTCAGAGTTATGTGAGAAAAGTAACCCCCTACTTCTTCAAGCTGCCATTAGTTAGACTTTGTTACTTGCAGCTAAAAGCATCCCTGAAACAGAGCCATGAAGTTTAACAGATCTGGGTCTGAATTCCCTGCCACTTATTAGCTGGCTGACCTTGGGTAAGTCCTTTCACCTCACTGAGCCTCAGCTTCTTCAATCATAAACTAGGACAAATAGCAATAGCACCGAGTCCCTAAGACCTGAGTACCTGTGGCTGCAGGCGGGAGCTCCGACAGGACGGTCTTGAGGCCGATGCCAGCGATGTCTCGGAGCTGCTCCTTGTCTGACCGCATGTTGGCACAGAGGGCATCCACGATGGTCTCCACCTGGTACTCCTTCACTTTGCCCACCAGAGGACCCAGGCTGAGTATGGAGGGAGGGAGGAGGTCCAAAAGCCCAGGCTCAGCTCGAGTCGGGCTGCCCCTTATATCCCCTCATGTCTGTGGGGCCACATGTGCTGAGGAAAAGGCCCCAGATCAACAGGAGACTTCCTATTTTGCCAAAGAAAGGTACCATCTGCGTATGCCGACATCATTCCTGGCACCTCCCAAACCTGCATCTCCTCTTGGGTTTTACATCTCAGTATATGGCCAAACCATCGAACCCGGCAACCTCAGCTGGAAACCAAGGAATGCCCAAGAGTAGGGTTCTCAAACTTGCGCGTGTATCAGAATCCCCCAGAGGACTTGTTAAAACACAGATTGTGGGACTTCCCTGGTGGCACAGTGGTTAAGAATCCGCCTGCCAATGCAGGGGACACGGGTTCGAGCCCTGGTCCGGGAAGATCCCACATGCCGCAGAGCAACTAAGCCCATGCGCCACAACTACCAAGCCTGCGCTCTAGAGCCTGTGAGCCAAACTACTGAGCCCGTGCTCCACAAGAGAAGCTACTGCAATGAGAAGCCCATGCGCCGTAAATGAAAAGTAGCCCCTGCTCGCCACAGCTAGAAAAAAAAGCCCGCATGAAGCAACGAAGACCCAACGTAACCAAAAAAAAAAAAAAAAAAAAAACACAACACAGATTGTTGGGCCCCACCCCAGCTTTTCAGACTTAAGGGATCTAAGTGGGGTTTGAGAATTTACATTTCTAGCAAGTTCGCAGTAGATGCTGACGGTCCAGGGACCACACTTTGAGAAGCTCTGCCTTAGAGGCTTGCTTCTCCAAGTGTGGTCACAGATCAGCATCACCAGCACTACCTGGAGATGCAGAGATGCAGCAGCTCAGGTCCTACCCGACAGCTACTGAACTAGAACCTGTGCAAAACCCCCAGGTGATTCGAATGCACGTGAAAGTTTAAAAACTGCACCAGACACACTGCTTCTCAGCCTTAACTGCCATTGCCATCACCTGGGGCCTTTTAAGAAATTGTTACCCAGGTGCCAGCCTCAGAGTGTCTCAGTTAATTGGTTTCAGGTGTGGCCTGGAGCGGGGAAGTTTTTTAAATTCCCCAGGTGATTCTAACATGCAGTCAAGGCTGAGAACCTCTGACCTAAAAGAGTGGTTCTCAGATGACAGTGTGCATTAGAATGCAGATTCCCGGGTGCTATATCCTCACCTGCCCGCCCCAGCCCACTCCTGAATTAGAATCCCTGGGTGGGGAGCACACAGTTTAAACAAGGGTCCCAGGTGGCCGCAGTGCACACCACTTTGCAAACTCTTGACTTCTTTCTCTAAGTAATCGCAGGTCTTTCCACTCTACCTTCTATAGCCCTGGTTCTCAGTAGGGGTGATTCTGCCCTGAGGGGCGTTTTGGATATTTACTGGGGTTGAGGGGGGCCTTCTATTAGTTATGTTCATCATAACTAATGAAATGGCACTTCTGGCTTTTATTGAGGGGATGGGGGAGGGGGGTTTGGGGGGGTGGGGTGAGGGAGGCCGGGGATGATAGAAAGACAATATTGCAAAATCATGTTCCATGTCCTGCTGGAGTTTCTAACATCCCACTGGGCATTCACACAGGTAAAAAGCCTTTCTATAATTATCTGAGTCCAAAACCTAATTTCATTTTACATATAAACACAAAGTACTTTTCTGCACTATTTTAATATATTAAGATATTAATATTTTAATACATTCTAAAATTTCCCAAAATGTAGTTATCAGGTAACTCGAAGGAAGACTGTACTTTATTTTCCTGGGAAACTTTACCGGGACATGGTCACCATTTCAGAAAATCTCGTAAGCTCAATGCTGCCTGTGCTGAGTCCCCAACATCCACACCTGTCTCCACCTGCTTCCTGCCTTGGCGAGCCTACCTCAGGTGCAGGCTTCTCACGACTTCATTACACGTCTACCGTCAACGCGACTGAGCATTTACACAGTGAAACACACACTATTCTACCATCAGCAACGTTCCTCCTATTTCTCCTTTATGCTCCAGTTTAAGGCATTATATAAACTGTTTTGTAATCATGTGTAAAGGCAGATTCTATTATGCACGAATTTCATTTCGTGATAAGAAAAGAGTATTTCAGACCACGTGTTATAAAAAGGGGTTACTGCTTCTGCTAGTAGGAAACCCGTCCACCTGATCTCAATTCCACCGTTAGAGGGATGCTCCCAGACCACAAACCTGAGGCTGTCTTGTTCCTGCATGAAACTCTTTACTGAATTCCTATGCTCTTAGGATCAAGTTGAAATTCACTACCCACCCAGAACACCTGGATCCAGCCCACAGAATACTGTTTGAGAGGCAGTGCCCCAATTCTGTTGACCCCCGCCATTCCTCAGTCCCCTGCTTACCCCGCCACACACACACATGCCCTGCACATACCTCCTCTTGCTTTTTCAGCTCTGGGGGTAACTGGCAAAGGTCTCAGAACGACACCTCATGATGCCTATGGCCAACGCGCCCCCCCCTGCCGCATCCTTTCACCCCCACCACTTCTGTGCATGCCAGCCTGACCTTTCAGCTGCCAACACCTGCATCTGTGCCTGAGGGCTTTCCCTGGATGGAGATGCCAAGGAATGCATAACGCTCCACCTACCCCAGGAGCAGCCCTCAACCAAGGAAAGCTGGCAGGTGGGAACACTCCAAGGTGCATGTCCTACACTGTGTGCCAGGGATCCCCAGCAGGGGTAAGCTCCACTCGCCCACAGGAGAAACTTGCTTGATGCTTTATTGCTTTTCTTCCTTCCCTGCCTCACTTCTCTACCCCGCTACCTAGTTTCCTGGGATCTCTTTCCTAGCAAACTTACACTTGGATCCTTGCCATGGGGTGTACTTCTGGGGGAACCTACACCAAGTCACTGTCCAGCTCCACTAGGGCTCCAACAGCTGCTCAGCAATTCTTCTCTCAGAGGCTGTACCCCAAAGGGTCAGGGACCCTCCCATCACCACCAGGGTTGACACTCACCACTTAACCGCCAGGTTCTGCACCTCCCCGTTCTTGTCCTCTAGAAGCCTGAGAAGCATCTTTACCACCTTGCGCTCGCTGTCCTCATCCAGCTGGATGGAGTCCTTCTGCAGCTCTGACATCAGGTCACTGGTAGCCATGAACCTGGGCAGGGAGAACGGAGGAGGATGGCCGAGCAGCTCCTGGGCCCCGGTGATTTGGGCAGTACCTCAGAGTTCCCCAGAAGCAGACCTTGATACAAAGGGTCAGGGGCAGTCAAGGGCAATACATTATCTGGGCTGTGGGCACAGTTGGGCTACCACAAGGCAACGCGTGTGTGAGACACCGACTGGCCCAAGGTGGCAGACTCAGACACACAGCATCCCAGCTAAAGGCTTAGGACCTCCAAAGCACGTGGCTCCTGCTTCTGCCATTTATGCAAATGCGAACTTGGGCAAGTTACTTCACCTCTCCGAGCCTTACTTAAACTGTCTGAAAAGTGGGGATGAGAACGGTACCTGCCTTGTAGGGCTGTATGGAAGATAAAAGAAGACAATGTATGGGGTGTGCTTAGCACACAGTGGGCACTCACGAGGTGTCCCGCCATGATTATAATGTCACGTCATTCGCATCTCATTCGGGCTAGAAGGTCGAACACAAACCTTGCAACCGAGTCAC